GGAGAAGAGAAGGCTGAGAGGTGATATGATAGCCGTGTTTAAATCTTTTAACTTTTGGCTGTTTCCTTCTGGTCCAAATGGCACACCAAAAGGCTTTAAGTCCCTTTGCATTTCCCTTTTTCCCTTTTTTGTTTGGTTCATATGCCATTATCTTCCAATACTTACATTTATTTTTATAGAAAACTTCTCATTTTCTGTTTTTCAAGGCCAATTTCTATTATTTTCTCCAAAACAGTTATGTCAGTTTACAGCTACCTATTTTCTTGTTGTACTATTGCAAAGCTAGGTAAGTGTGCTTTATCAAAACTAAACCATTCTGTAATAATAAAATTGCTTTCATTCTGTGACAAAATGGTGAAAGCAATATACTTTGACCATGTAGGCTATTGTTCTTATCATAAAAGCAATCCTTCCTAGATTAAGGGAGAAGATAAATTGAAGTTGAAACAATGATCCAATTTCCCTACTATACCAGCCCATCACTTATTTCTAAGAGAAGTCTCTCTTGGTTGATGGTGACACATTCACATTGGCAGTAGCTATTGGAACAGAAATGTCAAATCTGTACACAGAACTGAATGTAAAATAAATATGTTCAGGAGCCAAATATAACATTAATAATCTCATAGGTAAAATTATAAGGTTTTGCAGCACTTTAAAAACAAATGCATTCATTAGAGCATAAATATTCACTGAGTAGATTTCTTGAAATTTAATTTGTCTTTAATTCATCTGTAGGGGTACATATTCATAATTAATGTAGGGGTACATTAATTAATTGACTAGGGGTAGCTACATTGCAGCATAAAAATAACTTAGTATTTCATAATGTAACACAGGAAAGTACCTTATTCAAAATCAGACCATAGTCCACATATCTCAACATTGTCTTCAACAGGGATAGTGTTTTTGTGGTTCTGGACAAAATGAAAGTTAGAATTATCTCTCTAAAGCTGAACCCATGCCAACAAAATAATCCAGTATTCTGTCCCAGTTTCACCCTGTTAACACCACACCTACTGATAATACACCATTCTTGAACTGCATTGATAGCCAAACATTTCCCCGGATGAATTCAATTTGGTAGAAAAGGGTGTCTCTTCCCATGTCTGAATTAGAGTATTTTAGGTCACACAATGGCAATGCTGCACATTTTTCCTCTTCCCAGCATGCATAAACCTATCAACTAATAGCTTTTCTTGGTTTCCTGTGTATCTTGGTTTCCTATCAAAGGGAGCCCTGGTAGCACAGTGGTTAAATGCCAGTATTGCAGCCATTCACAGCCACAAGGTTGTGAGTTTGATCCCAAGCAGAGCTCCAGGGTCCACTCAGCCTTGCATCCTTTTGAGGCCAATTAACTTACACATTGTAAACTGCTTAGGGAATGCTTAAGTGCACTGATAAGCAGTATAGAAATGTATTTGCTATTGCTATAATCTTACCACCTAGCTTGCATTCTCATTGGATAGGGAATCATGGGAACTGTAATTTATTGTGGCACCAGAGTTCTCTGACAGAGAAGGCTCAATTTCTCAGAAAAAAATACAATTCCCATGATTCTCTAGCACTCAGCCAGGGCAGTGCCTCAATTTAATGTGCACTATTTCTGGCAGTCTGCAAAGGCCCCACGTCACCATTT